AAACCCTAAAAGGAATCCTCGCCAGCAGAAAGAGCCGACCCGCCACAGGAATTCTGCCCTAAAAGGATTCCTGACGAGCAGAAAGAGCTGACCCGCCACAGCAAACCCTAAAAGGAATCTGACCAGCAGAAAGAGTCGACCCGCCACAGGAAACCCGAAAAGGAATCCTTACCACCCGCCACAGCAAACCCTAAAAGGAGTTCTTACCAGCAAAAAGAGTCCACCCGCCACAGCAAGCCCCAAAAGGAATCCTTATTCTTGCACAACCACAGCCATTCGCGACTAGCTGTTGATATTCGCGCATGGGTCCCGCGTCAATCGCTGATTGGCACGCGTGTGTTCGCTGATTGGCCGTCGCTGATTGGGAGTCGCCGATTGGGGGCACTGTTCGCTGATAGGCATTCCCCCCGTTTTTCATACACGTTGATTCGAATACATCCTTCTGACTTGCTCAGCACCATTCCTGCTGAGAGTGAGCAATAATGTTCACTTCAGATGATTCCGAAGTGACCGTGCTTTTCAGTGGCGGCTGCCTGTTGTGAAGAATCATCCATGTTGTTGAGCGCGTTCTCTGAGCAGTAGAGTCCTCTCCGGATTAATCCAAAGTCAACATGTTGCATCAATAGCGAATGAACTGGAAGCAAGCCTTCAGCGGCTCAGCCAACAGTACTGTGTTGCTTCTATTTGTTTCATGATGATTGGAAACATGCATTCAAATGATTGAACGGACGCCGTGTGGAAGCCCGCTAACGAAGGATTGCAAAAAAAAAGCAGGCATAAATGTCTGGACAGGAAAGCTTGGGAGGAACATGCCCCAGTAGAAACTGACTTGAAGTGGCTCAGCATCGAGTGCTTGCGATGGGAGCTTGTGAATAGATAACAGCTAAATAGCTGAATCCAACAACTAACAGCCATAAGCACTCTAGGACTTGTTGGGGCTAGCATATGTCTTCCTGAGCATGGTACAAAGTCGGCATGTGGGCAACATCGAGCTCAAACTAGAGAAGGACCAAAATGCTTTCCTAAGAAGACACACCCACCGGAAGCACCCATGGCATCTTCGCCTCAGCATCCTCGAGATGGTCCCCAGCTCTCCTGAGATCTGGCCAGGTATTTCGTGCGGGGAGGCAGGTAAGATCTGTCCCAAACCATAGGCAGCCCCCTCAGCCCTCGTGTTCCCCTCATTGAACATGCAAGCAAAGCAACGACTGGAAATGTCTTTGCCTCCGTCACATGTTATCCCCCCCCCTGCAACAGTATTGGAAAGTGGAAAGTCAGCATCCGTGGTTGCTGGAGCAAAACACTGGTAGTACCGTAGCACTAGGTAACCCAGATGGCAGCCAACCTGACCTCCCGTAAGCAGATATGTTTTTCTTTCTCGTCTGCCCATTTGTGACTGCGGCTTCAGCGCGGTTTCAGCGGGTGAGTTTCCACAGCCTTGGTTCTCTTGAATCCAGGCGTCGCCTCCCGCGCGCGTCGCCAGCACCACCGGCCTTGGCGCCGCAGACGCAGCAGGTGGTCCCCAGTCAAAGCCACGTGCCCGGCTGCGGCTGCGTCAGCCACGGGCGCCGCGTGGAGGCAGAAGTACTTGAAGCTGCCCTGATGGGGAGGGGCCAAATCTAGGGGCTTCATGGATTCGTTCTATGGGTTCTAACAAATGGGTTCCTTTCGGGCAAGCTGGACCCAGAAGCCAGCCAAATTCTCAGGAAATCCTCATGTTGCTTACGACGCAGTCCAAATAGGCGACTCGCCCCTTGTATCATTTGCCACCACAAATACACTTTTCACAGACATCAAGCTTCCCGCAGCCCCGCAAAAGCCTCGGGTGTGCCCCCCATGAAACTCGACGCCTGGGCGTCGGAATGCAGCTGCGCAATCACCGGCGACCAACCCTCCTTCGTCTGCAGCTCATGGCCCACCTGTCGGGCCGATTTTTGGTGGGGTTCCCTGGGGTCCCTTCTGTGGATGCTACAGTATGGGAATTGTCATCGGCTTGGCTAGTTTGATACCTGACTGATGCTGTTTCGATGGATGAGAAGAGGTAGTCCAGCGGTGCAGCGGGCGGTGTGACGCATCAGCCTTCTGCACATGCACCCAACATAATCCACAGATTGGACCCAACTCCAGCAGAAAGCCAAGTAAGGTTCAGGTGTTGAATCTGACCTGCTTCTTGACTCCACATCCTGCCTTGGCACCTTAAACTCGTGAAACATTTGTTACATCAGGCTTCCAAAGTGTCTCGCCTGCAATGAACTGCTGCAATGAATAAGCAAGACTTTGAAACTTGTGCGCCTTTCCCAGTGGAGCAGCAACAGGGCTTTGTTTTGCTGGAAGAAACATGCCCATTCTTGAGCAACACTTTCCTTGGCTTCCTGGCGAGCGTTGCAACTGGCGTGCAAGGATGGTGGCTGGAACAATCAGAATCAGAGCGATCAAGACACGAAACAGAATTGCGCCCCAGCCCTCCACCTGGCAAGCTATGATTTTCCCTGGGGTCGAATTTGTCAACTTAAGCCCAACAGTTGGCCAAAACCCAGACTCCATGTACACAGTGGTGTCTATGCGCCAGCGGGCATACCTGGCCTGCACTTGGGAGATCCAAATCTCCCCCAACGAGCGCTCCCGGACCCGCGCAAAGGGCGGGAAGCAGCCCTCCTGCGCAACAAGCTGGCCGCATTGCCCAAATCAGGCCGACAGCGAAAGAATGACCCGTTGAATGGGTTCCAAGAAATGGGATCCTTTCGGATGCTGCACGCATGACTTTAAGACTTTGGGTGCAAGCAAAAAAAAAATAGAACCCATTGAGGGACCCTTGAAGCAAACGCACCACCCAAAATACACCCGAAATTGCAAACGATGCAACTCAAGCCAAGATTTGCCCAAAATGACTGCCCGTGTGTCAAAGGGATGCATCGCCAGCCCGGCCAAACAGCTCCTCAAAGTGCTGGGACACAGCCAGCTTGCAGGGCTCCTCGAATTCAGCCCGACGGTCCCCGTACTTCTTCTCGCACTCCTTGGATCTCAAACATTTGGCTGCCAGTTTGAGAGCCTTTCTGGAAGGTGCTCTCCGGGTACCTTGTTGCAGCAATACTTTGGGTAGGCTGGTCACTATGCTCCGCATATTGCCGAGCATTGGCCGGGATTAGCTCACGCTAGGCGTAACCTATTTATCAAACCATCGCAGTGGCCAACATTGTGAGGGGAAGTCAAGACATCCACAGATATGCGTGGCACACCGCAGAGAGTGGCATGCCGCCTACTTCCGAGCATTTCAATTCACTGAGATTCATCTATTCCGTTTCTAGCTGGGGCTCTCGGTTGCAAACGCCCAGGTCTTGGTCACAGCTCACCTGCCAAGGCACGCCATCTGGAAGGGATGAGTAGTGCAATTTTAAACCACTTGGAATGGGACATTGAAGTCGCAACTTGGGAGCAGCAATGAAGCAAAAGCAGCGCTCTGAGTTGTATCTAGTGGGAAGAAGGGCAGGGTGGCTGTTGTGTGTTTATACTTTGGGCATACATGGACAGCTTGTGCAATTCATTGCTCAATGCAAAGAGGATCAGCCAGCTAATTCACGCACGCATGGCTCGGTTCCACGCCTCTTGCTCCTTCAGTTCAGGAGCCTGGCGCCGCGCGCAAATTAAATCATTCGTCATGCGTGGAGCGGAAATGGCTGTGATTCTCTCAAGGTATGCCAAAGGGCTGACCCATTTGGACCCCCATGCAACAGGCAGTCATGAACATGCGTGGAGGTCGCAGGGCAGCAATCTGCTCCTAGCGGTTGCTCCACTAAGAGAAGATTCGCTATGCCCTGGCTTAAGAGCTCATGCGCACACAAACTCCGGCAGGCTTCTTTCCGGTGCTGTCTACACGCGGGCCTTGGGGAAGAACTTGATGGTGGTGCCAAAGAAAGAGCTCGCTTGCGTGGATGGCGATGTCGCCTCTCCTGGCTGGTCACGCTCGGTGCAACGAGGTCCAAGGAAACCCAAGTGAAACAACGCCGAGGTCTCAGGATTGGACCCTTGGCATGTGCCGGATGCCAAATCCACCTCGGAATTCTGGCATCTGCTTCATCTCCAATGTCGATTCGATAGCTGCAGCAGCACAGCAGTTTTTGCTTCAGACACCAGTTGCTTATCGTGGTCACTGGCGCGTTGGACAGACGAAAAGTCGTCTTAGGGCTCAAAACTCAGACTTCGCAGCCTGTTGATAAGAAAGCTGGCGCCTACCTTTCGAACAACCTCCGCGTAAAATGATTGAACAACCAACTCTGAAACAGGCATTGCAGCACATGTGTGCCGCAGGCAAAAGTCATAGCACCCCGCAAGCTGCCACTAAGAACAATGGTCGCGCACCAAATGGCGCAAGGAAAACAAAGCTCGCAACGACCGGATGTGAGGAGTAATTACGGTGCTAGAATCCGAAGGCGCTGCAAGTCTGCTGCCAGCTTACAGAACTTCTGAATGCAAGGAATGTTATCTGGGGGAAAGGCCATCCACGAGTTCCGGAAGCCAACTCCTCTGGTCCCAACCGAGTTTTGTCTTCCCCCTCCTAGGAAGGCGGCTCTGCTGCCGCGCGGGAGCTGCCAATCCAGGAGGGCAGCGCTGGAGGGCATGGCCAGTGGCTGGGTCGCCGGTGCACTCGAGGTGTGGTGAGCAAGGCCTATTGCTTAGAAGCCTTGTCTGGGTTTTCCGAAAATCCGCGCTGTTGCCGATGTCCTAGGCCATAGAAAAGCGCCATGTGCACGCAGTGCCTTTTGCAAAGAAAAAGGCTACGAGACGGGTAAAGCGGGCAAATGCGAAGGAACAGCCATGGGCCCGCCAAGAGTAAAAAGTCAACTTAACAGGACAACTTGCCCACTGCATGGCAGCCATCAATCGCTTCTTCCTTGTCAGCCCATGCCTGTTTTGTTTCTAGGTGGCAACCAGAAAAAGTGAATTTGTGACACCAGACTGTTTGATCATCCAAACAAAGCCGTCCCTTCCGCTTGGCCGCCGGCTCGATCTTGATATCCAAGTGATGCCTCAAGTACTCTTCATTCCTCCTAGACTGATGAAGACTGTGATGGAAGAAGGGCAAAGCAAATACGACTGAATACTGAGCAGTGGGGACCAGGCATGTTATAAATCGATTTGGCATTTTAACATACAAACTACTCTACTGCCGAGCTCCAGTCTGATCAATGTCCAAACCACCAAAGTGCTTGTTACAAAAGGACAAACCAGAACAACGTCATTCCCATATCATCGTGTTTCCATTATTATTGAACCACGAAGCACGAGAGATGCCGTGTGGGTCAACAACTTATTTCAATCATGCCATCGTGGAGAAGTTTGGAAAAGGCTAGCGTGGGAGCAAAGATTGTCCTTTTAGCAGCTGTTCAATTCCTCTCACCGAATGACTGTGTCGTTTCAAGCAAAACTTGCCAACCTAATCACAGCTTCAAAACTATACTACACGTCCCCTCCGGTCCGAATGCAAATTCAAACAGCAGATTCGAAGTTGCCAGATAGGAGCCAAGGGGCTTTGTGACTCCCGGAGGCGGCTGGATGTAGATGTGCGTCTCCTCGATGTTCCTCAGTCGAGACCAGAACTGGGATCTCGGTTGACATAAGTTGACATTCTAATGTTGACTTTTTGTGGTCCAGAATCAACCATGCATTTCGCAGGGCAAAAACTGAGGCAGTTGAAATGGTTTGGATTGTTTGCTTCAGGGGATGTGAGCTCCGGTCAATACTTGCCATCAATCTAGAAGTCAAGGGAATCACCAAACTGCCACAAAGAATGGAGGTTACTCGCCAAAACGGCTGTCATTGGGGCACACAACAAATATTGACCCTGGCTGGTGTGTTGTTTGTTCTGTTGTTCCCCTGTGCTAGCAGAAAATGTTCATTGCTGTTCATGTGTGTTTTCTTTAAAGGAACACCAAGACATGTATTGTGACTTTCCGGATTGAGCAACACAAAACACTCCTTCGAATGTCTTGTGGACGCCATTCTGATTTCTCCATTCTGCACCTGGAAAGGGTTGACTCGTTGCCCGTTCTGGCAAAAGCACACCAACCTGCACACAGTTCAAAAACTCCACACAATGTTTGCGAGGCGCAGCTCTGGCATGAGGTCTCGTGGTGTCTGAAACTAACTGTTGTCTCGCTCTATGCAGACCCAACCAAGGAGACAAGCAAAATGAGGCAACAGCAAGAGCCAGCCTCCTGGTCTCGCACAAGAGCAAATCTTTGCGAATTCCCCAAAAAAATAACGGAAGCTGCACAAGCACCTACAGTGATCAAGGCCAACTGTGACTCATCACATGTTGTCGAGAAACGGGCAGGCAAAAACAAGATAATGTGATCGCTCACTGAATCTTGAGAAACATCGAGCGCTGCATCCAAATACGTAACGTCTCCCGACCAATTTGGTCTCTGTGCCGCCACCATCTCCCCCACGTTCCGGGCGCCCAGCTGCTCCCATTCGTAGACGCAGCGGCCGTCAAAAACGAACCTCTGGTTCGCTCGTTGATCCGACAAGAACTTGGAACTCAACTACTCCGTGCCAATCTCAGGCAGACTTGCTGCAAAGGCAAGTTTTTTATTGGAGGATGTTTGGCAAATGTCTGGAACCCCCCGTTTGAAGAAAATCTCCTCCGCAGCCGCTGGCACCATTCCTCAACTCCTCAGCCCTTCCATCCGCTTTCAGCAAGTGCATTTCCAGCTTTCTGCAATCCTGCCCTTCCCCGGCTACTGGCTCCTTGACTCAGAGGTTCCTTTCGGAAGTTTTCTGTGCCCCTTGAAACGCACCCCTCACTCCGAGGCTTCGGCTGCTGCCGGCCCCGCGCCTTCTCCGACAGCTTCCGCACCTCGGGGCTGTCCTGACTCGAACTTCGGCTTTGTGGGGCTGAGAGTTGGAGTTCCACGTGGCATGATGGGGAATCAACCGTGCCAGAGATCATTCACAGCCCCGGAATCCGGAATGGCAGTCGGAGATCACTCAGAGCAGTGTGCAAAATGAACAATAAACTAGACAAAAGCCCCGTAAAACTGCCTGCCAGCTGCAATCGAGGCAAAAATGAAGTCGGGGACCGTGTTTCCATTTTGTCAGGCTCCAAGCTTCAAAAGCCGCGCCACCAAAAAGAACAAAAAAGAATTTGGAAGTCATTTTAACGGGCACCCAACCCATTACATACTGCACGACCCTGAACACACATGGAAGCCTTGCAATTGAATCGTGGGTCTGTTGTTGCGTTCCTGTTGTGTTCACACACGGTAGGAAAAATGTTAAATGACAATCACAACAAGTTGTCCCAAACCAAAACCATTTTGTCTGCAAAATGATCCCAAAACCATGCATGCAGACATTGTGGTCCTCTTGCATGATGCCAATGTCTCGTGGTGTGGCTGAGCACAAAGCCCTATAGATTGATTTGTGTTGCATATGTGTTTAACAGGTTCTTTGTGTTCTATTAAACATGATGAAGCTAAAGGCTGCGTAAGCTGGAAAACGTTGCGGTGCTGCACCTCTTGTTGGCGACATTTTGCTGACTAAACGGTTATAGCTATCAAAATCAGCCACCAATCAGTCTGCGCTACTAGCTGGACTTGAGCCAAACGGGTTGCGTACTGTTTGTGCGTTCTAGTCTTCTATGTTTGTATGTTTGTACATGTAGTATGGATGAGTGCTGAAGCGTATGGATGTGGATTGTTGTTAAAAAGAAAAAAACTTATTCAGTTCTGAATGTATGGATGTATATATATATATATACGTATGTATACATATATACATATAAATACACATACTGAAATATTCATACACGCATGCGTGTGTGTACTTGCATGCAGGAACATGGCCCAGATTGTGTCCCCGTGGTTTGTAAACGTGTTTGTGCACAGAACATCAAACGAGCCTTTGCACTGTCCATATGGACGCCAATGTCGTGTGATATGTGCTGGTAAGCAAGAAGTGCGTGTCATGCATTTTTTGATACGAGCCTAAACAGCAAAGTGCCGGCTTGGCAATCCGCAAGTTTTGGTACACGGGTTGATGCGTTTGGTCCGCGCACCTGAGACAGAGAAGATATTGCCCTCGTTTGCTCCTTGCTTGAACGCCGACTAGTGATACCAACAGCACCTGCCACTGTTACCACAAGCCCGCCAACGTGATGCAAGCGCACGCAGTTGTCGGAACACCGCTAAGTTCAATTTCACAACTCAACCATTTTGTCACACGTCCGCACGAATCCCTGCAATAGCCCTCAACATTGTGCCAACTCCCCAAAAATTACAAATTGACTAGCATGGCACGGTCTATTTTGACTCGATCCGAAATGAGCCTCTGGTCGATGACTCTGTTCATGTGCATGCACCAAGGATATGACTGAAATTCACCCTCATATCCTTGACACTTCATGCATTGGTTCAACCTGTGCCCCTGCCTAAAGTACGGGCACAGTTCGCTTCTATGATACGCCACACCACTCTTGGTGACTGATATGATTCTTGGGCCTTCCCCAGTGAATCTCTTCTGAAGATCACTCTCACCACACTCACCGACACCATTCTTGGGCTTTATGGTGTTCGCTGCGGCGTGCTTCTCCTGGTTAATGAGACCACTGATGATCTTCTTTCTTGACCTGGCCAATGACAAGGCGCTCCACGAAGTTCCTTCGCCAGTCATTGCCATGTTCACCTTCCTCGCTCCAAAATGTCCAATGATCTGTCCTTGAACGTTAAGGCCTGGTGCACTGCTCCTAGCCTCAAATCACACAAACCCTAAACCAAGCTGCGGGATAGGAGCGAGGATAGTCCCCCCCCGTGAAACTAAAAGCCAGGAACCTGATCTCAAACCAGGAGAACACAGGACGGTTGACCTCCCGGTGCTTCAAGAAGTGAAAGAAGGCCAACTAGGCTCCATGCTGGTTGGCGTTGATCACGCCCATCATGAAAGACCGTCTTCGGGAGCTTGGTGGGAGGCTGTGGTGCGCAAGGCTGCCGAGACTTATTCGAAGCGGCTTCAGGCGAAAACACACGCCCTTACTGGGGAGGCCCGTCCAAACGGCCTCAGATTTGCAGCGGTTTCTGGACCCCATTTTGGGGGCCGCCTGCGCAACGTGTTAGTCGCAAAACCGAAGCGCACTTTTGCCAGCCCCAAGTCGCAATAAAGCCTCCGTGCCGGTCAGTTCCAGTTGGGCTCTAACTAAAAACTGTTCGGCTCAACATCCGCGGAGCGCACCAAAATCACCAGTAACCACACCAAACACGAACATTGCTTCGAACCAGCTTCAATTTGGTTCAATCAAACCATTGAAAACTCAACATCAAAATTATCGCCGCAAAACATGAAACTTCAACCGGCTTCTTGACGCAGTTATTTCTTCCAAGAAATCGCAGCGTTTCAGCCAGCCAGCCAGCCAGCCAACCCAACCAGCCAGCCAACCAACCAACCAAGCGGCCAAAACGAGTTGCAGAAGCCAAAACAAAAACTGAAACCACAGGGCCTGCGCCAAGAACTGCCGCGCTGCAAAGCGAGTGGCCGGACTTTTGTTCCTTTTTTTCCAGCTCGTCCAACCAGGCGATGAACTTCGGGCGCGCTGTGCGCCACAGCCATTGAAGGGTCGAAAGCCAAATCCCAGCGAAAAACCCAGCTAAAACCCAGCAAAACCCAGCTAGAAGCCAGCTAGAAGCCAGCTAGAAGCCAGCTAGAAGCCAGAAGCCAACGCCAAAAGCCAAAAAAAAACTTAGAAAGTTTGCCTTGTTGCGCGCAGAGGCTTAAGTGGAAGAATGTTCAACTACTCGCTGCCATCAGCTGGCTCCGACAATCGTAAAGTTGGCAATTTCAAAAAAAAAATGAAGCTTGCCAACTTTATGATTGAGCTGTTTCCTACGAAAACACTAAAAACATTGCAGTTGAAAGTTCTTGCAAAACGCAACAAAAAAGATGCCCGGCGCCATTAAAGCGCCGGCTTGTGAAGTAGTTTCCAAGACCCTCAAAGCGCATTATTGGCAGAATGCTAAATCTGCCTTAATGATTGTTGTTTCAGACGTGTGCTCTTGCTGTGGCAGGCGCTGAGTTTGTAACCTCAAAGCGGAGTTGTCGGGGTTGCTGCTCTGGCTGTAACGTGAAAAAACCCTCTGCGGATTTTGGGCTGCATACGTGACAAAAACCTCTCCGCACGCCCAAAGCGGTGCTGTCGTCGCTCTGTACGCCCAGGGAGGCGCGCATTAAGGACTTCTTGGACACTGACTTGACCGGACTGCAACCTGAGCGCAAAAGCCATCGCGCTGTTTTCTGGTAGAAGATGGTACTTTGTACCTTGGCAAGATGATACTTTCTAAATTCGTTTTTTGCGTTTTCTGATTGATCTTAACCAACAATTTATGTTTCTTTCAGTGCATAAGTATGGCTTCTTCCTCCACTTTTGTCCTCCGAGGGTTACTTCTGTGCCCTTTCATTGCAAGAAACGGATGAGTAGCAATTAGAAGGAGGTGACGGTGCAACTTTGCTGTCTGGCACCCCTTGCTGCGCACTTGGGGGGTCCTGATCCTGGGAGCAGGGCCACAGCGCGTAGCACCTTTACCGCTGGTTGATCCGATGCGAAGGCGATCTTGATCGACTCGGCTCGATGAAGGACGTGCCACTGGTCAGCGGAATGCAGTAGCCGCAAGGTGGTGGGAGAGAAGGAGTTGGGGAAGCACTGCACGTCGTGCCGTGCCGTCACTGGTGGTGTTAGCTGGTTTTCAGCTTGTAGTCCAGCTCTGCATCAGCTCATCTTGGACTCCGGCGGTTACTGTCTCAGGCTTGGCTGGGGCGGTATAGAGTTCAAAGGGCTGGGGATCAAACAGACTTGTCACAGGGATCAGATTGACTTGTTCACTTGCAGAAGCATCAAAAAGACGTGTGAAGCGTCAGATTGGCTTGTGAGGGGGGTCAGATTAACTTGTGGGGGATCAGATTGCCTGTGGTCAGAACCGAAAAAACGGAGTTTCAAGCCTCCGCTTCTTTGCGGCAGCTGCGCGCCATGATCATCATGAATCATCCGCATCATCATCATCATCACCTATCATGAACATCATCAACAATTCTCATAATCATCGTTGCACAGATGAACATTATCATCATCACCTCATCATCATCATTATCATCATCATCATTCTCATCATCAGTCGTCATCGTCATCATACATCATAGTCATCACCTTCTTCCTCGTTGCACCATCAGCATCCTCATCGTCATGCATCATGACCGTTCTTGCAGAGGTCATATTCATCATCCTCATCATCCTCATCATCGTCATCATCACCATCGTCCTCTATCGTCTACCACCTACTCATGATCATCATGGGTGGAGATGATGACGACGATCCTGCGACGGACGATGATGATGATGATGAGGGGTGATGATGATGATGATGATGATGAGTCCGTGCCATCATGACTATCATCAGTTGACGCGCGAGAGATACGCAAAGAGGATGACAATGCTGACAGATGATGATGATTCGCACTATGAATATGTAGAAATTGATGGGTTGATGATGATGGATGATGATGGTGCGTGATGAGGATGATAACAACGATGCGATGATGATGATGGAGGCTCACGAAGGGTGCTGGTGATGAATGAGGATGATGGATGATGATGATGATGGATCATCATGAAGGATGCTGATGATGGATGATGATGATGATGGTGATGATGAGGATGATGAGGATGATGATGATGATGATGATGATGACGGACGATGACGAGGATGGATGACAAAGGTGATGATGACGATCATCATCCGTGCCACGACAAGTATCGTCGTAGGATTTTGCGCGTGCCGAGCGTCAATTGAAACGGACGGAAGATAGAGGCTAAGTCTGCAATGTCGATGATGATGACGGATGATGGTGGTTCATGATAATAAGGAGGATGGATCATGATGATGCTGGTCATGATGACGACGCGTGATGAAAATGACGATGATGATGATCATCCATGCCACGACGACTGTCATCGGCCTGACGGCGCAGTTGAAGCGTGTGTAAGATACGGGGTAAGGGTCATGACGCCGATGATGCGACGACCACGACGATGATGACGATGACGGAAGATCACGAGGTCATGATGATGATGATGCTGATGATCGCCATGGATGATGGATCACGATGAACGTTGGTGACGAGATGATGAGGACGACGATGGATAATGATGCAGATGACGATGATGCTCGCCATGATGATAGTGATGATGATGGTGATGGTTGACCAACCTGGTGAGGATGATCTTGATGACGGCTGATGGTGGGCGACGACGACGATGACGATCGCCCGTTTCATTCTAACAGAATCACGCCGAGCGCGTGTGTAAGAAATTAGCTAAGACGGCTATGATGATGCAGATGCGACAACCCTGATGATGATGACGATGATGGATGACG